GATTCGAGGCGGTTGAGGCAGAGGTGCTGGAGGCCGGGGATGGGCTGCTGGAGGAGGACGATCCAGATCACGGGGTTGAGTTTCTGTGGGTTGCGGCCAGGAAGGGATGTGGTGGTTGATCTCATTCTAGATAATGCAATACAAGCCACAACTCATGCATACTCCTTCCTGGCTGGTTTTCGGCCGAGGTATGTGATGCGCAATCCCTGCTGCATGCGCCTCTATAGTATGCCCAAACAAATGTCTATCCGCTTCTACAATTATACAACGCCGCCGCCCCCCCCCATCCCACCACAAACTCAATCCTGGCTGATGTTGCTCCCATCGACCCGGCTCCTGTACGCCTTGGCCTCGATCCCATCATCCGGCGCCCATGTCTCCGCCAGGGCAAACGACGGGTCCGGCTCGGCAAACCCGCCCATCGCGTTCCGCACCTTGAGAATCTCGTCCCTCATCCGCCGCGCCACCTCTATCCTGATCGCCTGCGCCTCGGCGCCAAACTTCAGCGCCTCCGACGGCAGCTCCCCCGGGAGCAGCACCATCCCCCGGCCCACCTCCCCGCCCGCCGCGCCAACCCCCGCGCGGGCCTCGCGCTCCCGCTCCCGCGCCACCAGCCGCTCCCATCGCGCGCGCAGATCCCCAAACGTCGTCTCGTAGTCGACGACGTCGCCAAACGCCACGCGCACCTTGCGGCCGACGCGCGGCAGGAAGCGCGGGAAGGTCCGGTCCTCGGGCATGATGCGCTGCGTGCCGTCGATGAACATGGGCAGCACGTCCGGCGCCGGGTCCGCCTCGAGGATGAGGCGCGCCAGCCCCCACTTGAAGTAGCGCAGGTCGGTGGACGCGTGCTGGTGCACGAGCCCCTCGGGGAAGACGTGCACCCAGCTGTGGCGGCGGTAGAGCGGGTAGGCGAGCGGCGACGGGTGCGAGTCGGCGCCCGTGGTGGTGTAGGTGGGCGGGTAGGGGCCGGCGACGGCCGGCGGCGGGGACGAGAGCAGGCGGATGGCCTGGGTGAGGGCGGGCTGGAAGGGCCCGCCGAAGGGCGAGTGCTTGAGCCGGTGGCAGGGGAGGACCTGGCCGTGGCTGAAGAAGGCGGAGAATCCCCTGTGGGTACGATGTTAGTGTGTGTGTGGGAGAAGGGCGAGGATGATGGTATACTTGTTTTTGAAGCAGATGTCGGCCGCGCCCAGGGTCCAGCGGAGGTTGGACGGGTTGAAGGCGTATTTCAGGGGGAGGACGCCCCACACGACGGGATCGTCGAGTCTGCATACGAGAGATTTGGAGTGAGCGTGAGCGGGGACAGGGGCGGACGGGCGGGTGAAGCGGTGGGAATCGGGTTATGCGCCTGTCACTCACACGCTGACGTGGTTGGAGACTACGGACAAGTCAGCGCTTTGCTCGGGTGAGTGAGTGAGTGGGTGGATTGGCTTTTGGCTGAGCACGCACCGGTCAGGAGTCCGCGCTGGCGCTTGGCGGCATCTTTACGGCTGTCTAGCAACTCGATAAACTTGGCCAGCCCCGCCACTTCTACCGAGTTGAAGCCGTACAGGAAGCAGCGCGACACGACGCCTGTCATGCCCATAATCAAGGATGATTTCAGGCGCATTGCGAGGCTCGGCCGCTGAGAGACCGGCGCCGGTGTCGACATGGCGAAGTTGAGGGTGGGAGGTCAGATAATTGACAGGTTTTGACAATTCTTTACATACTCCCGTTCCCACCAATCCCAATTGTCGCACAGAACGCCCCGAGCACCGAGTCTAGAGTGCACTCATGAACCGCGGAAAAAAACAAATTGTTGGAAAAGAATGGATGAAACGGCGCCTCTGATTTGCCGCAAGGGCCCACAGGCATGGGCCCTCCCCCACAAACCGCCAAGCGAGCCGGACCCACCAGGTAGTTCGGCAATCTTGGCGACTTATTGGTACCTAGTGAGCTCTGCAGCTGCAGCTCCATCGCCATCGCTTGCTCCTCACCGACATAACAACCCACCTCGAAATATCCCATATTCTGCAAAATGGCACACAGTATGACCCCCTGCAACTCAGAAACATGGGGTCCAACTAGTCTGACTTCCCAGGCAAAAGAAACACCAGTCGGCCCATCTTCACGTCGCACGAGCGGTCCATGGCCCGCGCGGCCTGGGGCACGTCGACGGCGCGTCTTTCGCGAGAATCCTTCCTGCCATTCGCCTCATGCTGGCTATGCCTCGAACCCGCCATAGACCCCGTCGCATGCGCCCAGGGCGACATCTTTTGCCGCGAGTGCGCCTACCGCAATATCCTGGCCCAGAAGAAGGAGATCAAACGCACCGAGAAGGCCCGCGAGCACGAGGAACGCGAGGCGCGGGAGGAGAAGGCACGTCGCGATGCCGAGGCCCAGGAGCGCGCGATACGCGAGTTCGAGATGACACAAGCTGGGCTGAGCATAAAGAGCGGGAGCACAAGCAGTCGGAGGAAAGAACCGACGGAACCCCCTGAGCGGGAGGCGGAAGATGCAGAAAGCGGGCAACAACGCGGCATCAAGACGGGCGAGAAGCGCAAATTCTCTCTTGACCCTGACGAGGTCTCTCGGATTGCCGACGAGGCGCGGGCAAAGGCGCGGAAAGCGATTGACGGCGAAAATGTGAGTCGGCAACGTTGCTGCAACCACCTGCCCCCTGCCCCCTGCCCGGCTGACATGCCACCGAGGAACGCAGGCTTCGAAGCCGACATTACCATCCTTCTGGTCGCCTTCGGTCGTGCCGGCGTCAAACACCAGCAATGTCTTGCATGAGGTGAACAGAAAGGTCAAGACTCAGCCGACGTGTCCGTCCTCTGACGAGGACAAGCCGCATTACTACTCACTACACACTCTAGTCACCGTCAGCTTTACAGAAGAGACCGACCCCGATACGAAGACGACCCTGCGTATCTGCCCTGCGTGCAAAAAGGGCCTGACAAACTCGTCCAAGGCAGTGATGGCCAAGCCATGCGGCCACGTCCTCTGCAAGAACTGTGTGGACCAGTTCATGAAACCGCCCGGCGCGGACTCGGTCCGCTGCTTTGTCTGTGATGCTGATCTTACAGAAAGAAAAGCCAAGGGAAACAAGGAGAAGATCCGGCCTGGCTTGGTGGAGCTACGCCGCGAAGGCACCGGGTTCTCGGCTGGCGGGAACAATCAGGTCAAGAAGGACTCGGTGATGTTCCGCTGTTGATTCTGCACTATCAAGCCTCGATTCAGGACCTGCATGGGCCGGAGCCGGATATGCGACGGGGGGGGTCCAGAAGTGGTGATCGGGACAAGAGCTCCGAGTTCATTCATCTGTCTACCTTCGCTCCTCGCGTTCAAGAGATCCGCCGAGGTCCTCGCCCCGGAGTCGAGTTTGTTTGGGCATAGCGAGCTCCTTGGCGGACTTGGTTGGCCCCGGTCGAGCAGACCTGGAGGTACCGCTCGCGCATCCTCTTTGAGGCATCCCGCATCCTCTCGGATAACCTCGCCCTGAACTGAGGATATCGTGTCAGGGCCGCCAAGAGTGCAAAATAAAGTTGCACAATAAACCGATGAATAACGTCCTTGGACAGCATGGTCGTGCCGTGACTGAAGAAGCCCTTCAGCAGCTCCCCGCCCATCCCGTCATACAGCGCCCTCACCCCCTCTGCCCGCGCTATCCTCAGCACCGTCGCGAAGATGGTATCCTTTGCGAAGCCGAAGCCGAAGCCGCCATCGCCCGTCTTGTCCTCCTCTTTCTCCTCGGGCGCTGCCGACACCTGCACTCTCGCCTTGGCAATCTGGAACGGATACGTCGCGGCCGTCGCAAACACCTTGCTCACAGCGGCCAGCAGAAAGGTCGTCCGCGCCCCGGGCTCGTGCCACCTCTCGCGCGGCACCAGCGTCCGCGTGAGGATCTGCTGCAGGAAGAAGGTGATGCTCGGGTTCAGCGTCAACACCAGACTCGCCGAGTAACCCGCCCAGAGGCCCAGCACGCCCCGCTCCCGCCGCATGTCGGCCATGATCTCGCCAAACGTCATGTCCCGTGCCGTTTTCTGCCCTGCATTGTCCGTGTCCGGGGGGCCCCCGCTGCTGCTGCCCACGAGCAGACTCGCCGTCTGCCGCCGCGTCACCACGTTGCTGATGGGAGTCGTGAACGCCTTGGCGCACGCTCCCGCCGCCGCGCCGACGGCGAGTTCCTCGAGCGCGCGGAGATACGGTGGGTCGCTGCGGCCGACGAGCCGTCGCGCCCGGAACCACTTTCCCGCGATATTCCCCCGCCGGTCAGCAACCAAACTCTGTTTTGCTACGCCATGATGAAAGGTGGGGGGGGTGGGGGGGTGGGGGGGAACTGGTGGACTACTCACGGAGTAAAAGAGGAAGAAGAGGAACGAGTCAGCCGCCGACTTGCCCAGGTCGGCGCCGAGCCCGGCGAAGAAGGCCCCGACGCCGCCCTCGTTGGCGTAGATGTTCGCGAACGCGTCGCGCACGCCGCCGTACGCGTCCTCGTCGCGGATGCTCCCGTCCAGGCGCAGCTGCCGCTGCACCTTGAGGCGCGTGTTGACGAGGTCCAGCGGGTACGTCGCGAGCGTCGAGATGACGGTGCCGCCGGCGCCCGCGGCGGCGTGCCCGATCGACGGCAGGAGGCTGGATGCGTCCGGCATGGATGGCGAGATGTATGTATATATCAGGGGCTGTTTATGCTAATCCAGAAGTGGGATTTGGAGTCTGATTCTGTGCTGCGATAAGCTGTGGTGTCGGATATCGATGGGGGTTGGATTTGGTTGTGCAATTGTAGGTGCTGTGAGCGGCCATCATGTCTTGTTCCTGCCGGGGGCCAAGGTTTGGAGCTGCCAACGACGTCATCCCGCTGTTAGTGCCGGAACACATGCCGGCCCATCAACGCATGATCCGCCAGGCTGAATGCATGCACCATCAGAGCCCAAATAAACAGTCAGCACATAAATATGTACATACATCCACCCAGCTCGGATGTCAAAAATGTGACGCCCCTCCCCTCAACACTGTTTCCATGGACGAGCTGGGAATCGAACCCAGGACCTTTCGCATAACCGAGAATCTCAAGAGACTCCTAGAAATGCTAAGCGAACGCTCTACCAACTGAGCCACACGCCCTGACATGTGGAGTGCCATCACCGAGGAAGCCCGGTTCGATGGAGACACCAGGACACAGGGGCCCCCTATGAATGGGGGCCACTCATCGAGTACCCGCCGGCCTCATCCCAGGTTGTTGGTCAGTCCGCGTCGAATAACCAAGAGGGGATGATAAAGACAAATCCAGTTGGCGCGGGTATATAACATAGAAGTACACATAGTCTCCAATACCAAAGGCACACACTCCAATACCATACAGAGAGAATAGTAAACAAGAGCACCCCCTCTGGCCACGAGGACTAGCACCGGACACCCAAAAGCCCCATGTTCCCGGTTGGCGCGTCATAATGCGCCCAAAAAAAAAGAAGAAAAAAAGAGGCAGAGACAGCACCTAAAAGAAGAGCCCCGAAACCAACGCCTCGTCCGAATCCCAAAGTTCCAAGTCCCACTAACGCCACTGCTGCCATGGACCCGAGAGGTAAAAAGAAAACTGCGATGCCTATCCTGATGGATGGTGGGTATGATCAAGGCGGAAAACAAAAAAAAAAAAAGAGTAATGAGAAGAATGAAAAAGCCAAAACCCCACCCCTCCGCTGAACAAGCGCGCCTGGTCTCCAGACCACCATGGCCAGCCTGGGAGGTCCTACTCCCGGCCCTGGCCCGCCTGCCGCCTGCCGCGCCTCATCCGCCCCTGCTGCTGCGGCCGCGGCTGTCCCCTGAAGCCCGAACCTCCACGCCCAGTCCTGGACACCGGCGAGGTGCCCGACAGCCCAGCCATGCCCGGAAGCTGCATCATGGGCCTCAGGTTATGGGCCCCCGCGATAGCAACCGCCGCCGCCATCGATTCCACAGGATATGTAAAATGCGTTGACGGGGACTGCATTTGGGGCTGGGACTGTGATGGCATCATCTGCCCCATCTGGCCCCCCATCTCCACCCCCTGCATCTGCGCAAAGGCCTGCTGGGACTGGCTCTGAGACAGCATCATCTGCCCCATCTGGCCCATCTCCGCCGCCTGCATCCCCTCCAAGCTTTGTTGAGCCCCAGTACTCCAACTCTGTGTCCTACCCGGGATCAACACAGACGACAACTGAGGCGTCGGCTGGGATAGTTGCGGTGATGCGCCAATTCCAGTTCCTGGGTACTGGGTGTCCCAAACGGGGCTCGACATCGGGACAAGCTGGCTTCGTACGAACGGGCCGAATCCGGTGTCGATGGGAGACTGCGGTAGCGGTGTCGTGCATGGGAAATGGAGCTGGCTTCCGAGTGGAGAGGACGCCACGGCCGTGGCCGACGACAGGATCATCGGGCTCCGCATAACAGGCGCCGCGGCTGGGCCCGGGTGTGATCCTGACTGGGTGCCTGGTTGGGTACTGTATCGGGGACTTGGGCGCGCTGGGTGAGAGTAGGATGATGCTTGGACCGACGACGGAGACGGTCGCGGGCTCATAGATTGCAAGGTTGCGGTCGTGTGACTTGATGACTGAGATGATCGACGAATCGACGCGGATGACTGCGGCAATAGATGAAATTCGACCGGGGGTGTCGGCGGCGGTTGCATGGCGACTGAGCTCATCCTTCTGGCAGCTGGCTGCGATCCAATTTTTGGACTGGGTAAAGGCGGCTGCCGGGGAGCCTGGGATGGCAAGACCAGAGTTGAAGACCGTGTTCCTGATACCGAAGGGGCGGTAGCGGGCCTTGAGATCACAGGCTGGCGATGGACCGGCCTGGAGCCGGGAATGGGTGGGCTACACGCCCCAGTGACCGGGGCCGGATGGGACCCACGCCGGTGCAAGTGCGCTTGCGCAGGACTCTGTGACACCGCGGGTGCCGAGTGCGTGGTTCGGCGTTCCATAGGGACAGACCCTTGCTGATTGCGTGGCAAGGCTGTTGAAATGAGATCGGGAGTTGACGGGATGTGAGAAGATCGAGCATCCTAAGCTCGACCCGACACCGATGGCCGTCGCTGGGCCGGTCCCGGAAGGCCGAAGCTAGATGAGCGCCGTGAGAAGCTACAGGCTATAGTCGGATCAAGCTCCCCAGGTGCGTCGTCATAATCAAACATGGCAGGATGCCCGTCGGGGAGCCTCTGCGCGCCGTAGCCGACGACCTTGAAGATGTTGACCCGCCCCCCGTTCGTTGCGGCTTGCAACTGCTCGTGGAGGCGAGCCAGCTGATATTGGCGTTTGATGGGGGCAAACACCGGCTGCGGCACAGCCGGCTGGGGGTTCCAACTGGCCAGGGCGCCCATCACGGCAGCCGTTTCCTCGTCGCTATCCACCGCCGCAGCGTTGGCCTCATCCTCATCCTCCAAAGGTGCGTTGGCGTCGATGGCGGCCTTCTGCTGCTTGGCCTGGTTCTTCTTCTGGTACGCCGCCAGAAGCATATCGTACGGCAACGATCGTCCCGGAACACCTCGTTTTGCGCTCATGCTGTGGCTCTTGCACGTAAGTGAGCGAGCGCAGAGCTGGCCGTTGGGCAGCGGCACACCGCACTGCCTTTCCACATCGACAGGTCCCTTGGGCTTGGCAACTTTGGCCTTGGGTTCGTCCTTCTTTTTCTTGGCCTTGCCCTTGTCAAAGTCGCCCTCGGCCTTCCTCTTCTTGCCAGAAACGTCCGACTTTTTTGGCTTCTTGGACGTCTTGCCAGCGTTGCCTTCTTTCCGGTCGTCGTCGTCGTCGCTATCGTCGTCGCCCTGGTGGTTGCCGTCTCCTTCTGCTTTGCGCGCCTCTTCCTCCCTGGCGGCCTCCTTCAACCGCTCACGCGCCTCGCGCGCCTCCTTCTTCCGCTGCGCCTTCTCCTTCTTGATCCTCAGGCATTGGGCAATGTGATCATTGGCGGCGGCTCGACTGATGCCCTTCTTGCACAGCTTGCATTGGTGCATCTCGAGAAAATCCTCGACAGGACGGCCGAGGTGGTATGTGTCACGGCTGACATCTTCGAGTTGGCTGACGTCGGGGCTTGGGGAGACGGCGGCAATTGCGCCCTTGGGCTTCTTCTTGGTGTCTTCTGTGAAAGTTGCGGGCGGCAAGGATTAGCATCAAGGACTTGAACATCGCGCTGGCTGGTTGCGAGGGCGCGAACCTTCCACGACACTGCTCTCCTTCCAACTGCCCGGTTTAACCAGTTTGCGCAGCGCTCGCTTGACTTTTAATTTCCCCCAGGACTGTGGCCTGGAAGGCGTAGCGGACTTTTTGGCCGAGGCGACCTTGATGGTGGCCTCCTCATCTGGCGAGCCGAAAGTGTGGTTAGCATTCCGAGGCCTGGGAAGGTGGGCGCGTTGGAAGAGACCAGAACCTTTGCGCGACTCCATCGCGACGCGGTATCAGAGATCCTGGAATGAGCAAAAACTAAATCAGGAAAGAGGGGCAAAGGCACAATTGCGGGCGACAGACAAGACGCTGCCCATCTCCCGCGACCCTTTGTTCGTTATGTTTCGGGATGTGGTGTTAAACGGAGCAAGTGGTGCCAGCAGGTGGAAGTGACAGCGATAGTGGAGACGCGGCGGATTAAGGTTATCGATAGATATATATGTAATTAACGGGGTCCGTGGTCGAAGGGAATCAATCCGTTGTGGGAGGGACCCTTGCAGGCCGAGAGAAAAGATGATGAGAAGTGGACTTGGAAAAAGCTTCCCCGCAGAAATGGCTTAAATGTTGCGTTTCCTGTCTGCCTTAGTCATCGCTACCTAGTTTCCCCGAGCCAGCTGGCAACCGACGGTACGGACTACGCAAATTCACCATTGCAAGATCGCATCAGAGAATGATCATGATGCTATTGGGAATAATATCTATCGATGCTAATTCCGCACAGAGACTGGCACGATTTACCCCCCCACGCGCAGTTATACCGTCGCTATCAAAAGACCAGAACGAAATGAAATCAGAAAGGATGTCCACTTCTCTTTGCTTCCTGTGGCGCACCCAAACGGCTAGCACCTGAACACCCATGACAATGGCATTTACCGCCATGCCATCCATCCTCTCATTACTAGGTACTGAGTACCACCAGCCCGAGCCAAGAATATCGATTGAGAAGGCGCAACGCCAGTGAGTGAGTTATCCGACCAACAGAGCATCGAAAAATGGGAAAACGTTCTGCTGGCCAACCGGTTTGGTTACATTTTCGGAAAGGTGCCGGGCGGACTTCGATGCTTGCCTCGTGTTGGTATGTGTGTACCGTCTGCTGAGGAGACGGCCGATCGTGGCTGTGGCTAACTTGGCTAGCCCTGGGGCCCTGGTAACCTATACGGATCCCACATGTGAGGAGCGTACGGATATGCCGGGCCATATGCTGGGCCATATGCCGTCCATGGCAGCTGGACCTGGTACTAATAGGCGCCGTAGTTCTAGTAGGCACCGTAGTTCCCCTGGCTCGGCACCTGTTGATACCCCCCTTGCCCCTGTGGATGCATCATCTGCTGCTGCTGCTGTGCCTGATGATGTTGGGCATGCTGCCGCTGCCCCGCTTGTGAGCCCATGAGGCTGTTGAACCACGGGTGGGTTAACGCCTCGGCCGCGGAAATACGCAGCTCGGGCCGTAGCTGGAGCAGGCGCTGGAGCAAGTCGATGCCAACGGGGTCGATTTGGGGCAGGATGGTGCTGAGCAACTGCGTCGCGTACATCTGCCATGTTGTCTTGTACTCGGGAAACTGCGACAGTCCCGGCCAGGTTCTCTCAGTCGGGGTGCCCATGATGCGGAAGATGCGGATGATCTGGTCCTCGTTCGTGGTACCGGGGAACAGAGGTCTTCCCGAGAACATCTCGGCCATGATGCAGCCGGCCGACCAGATATCGATGCTCGTGTTGTACGTCCGGCTGCCGAGCAGAACATCCGGCGCACGGTACCAGAGCGTCACGACCTCGTTGGAGAAGGTGTTGACCGGGATGCCGAACGCCCTGGCCAGACCGAAATCCCCCAGCTTGAGCTGGAGCTTGCTGTTGATCAGCAGGTTCTGCGGCTTCAGGTCGCGGTGGAGAACCCTGTTTGTGTGGCAGAACGCGATGCCCTTGAGCAGCTGG